GTTTCATTGGTGCCATGTTTATCAGCAACAGCTGTGCTGAGCTGGAGGAGGTCAGTGCTGAGCCTAGCAAGAGACCACTGTTACAATATGAGACCATGGAGGAATGAGTCTCAAGCACAGTGCCATGGCCAAAATTATTCGTATTTCTCAGTTGTTAATCTGGGACCTCCAGCCACTGAGATTTTGACCCACTTACTCTAGACTGCCTGGCCTTGGCTTTGCTTTTAGGATCGTAGTGACCCACCTCCATCTGAAAGCTGCCTATTTCACAAAGAACTCAGTGCAAACAGAGGAACAAGCAGGTTCGGCTGAACCAGAAATAAGACCCAGGCTTGCTAGGTTATATTTTCTAAAAGTCTGTAGATCCGTTATTCCAGTATGAATGTCCTCTTCTGATAGTCCGCTTATACAAGTGTTCGTAGCCTGTAAATGAATCTGTATTGTAGCAGCCTGTTTGGTGTCAACCACTGAACAGCTATAGGACTTGGGGTCACAGCCTGTCTTCATCATGGACTCATGGTTGGTTTTGAATGTGGATCCCAGAGCTCAAATATTTTTGGTGCCATCACCAGCCACCCGATTGCAATTCTTGATCCTGTGGTTAAATATAAGCAGACAAATTTCTGATCCACCTCAGTGCACAATGGTGTCTCCTTGGTTTTTGCATTCATTTCCCAAGAGTGAATAAATCATTTCTAAGCACCCGTTCCCAGGGAAGAAGTTGATTTCTTCCTACTATGTCCATGATGAACAAGGATACTCACATTATTTCTTATTATTTGGGTGCACACAGTGTGCACTTCACTTTGAAGCATGAAAGTATTATTTATCTTTTGCTACTCTAAGGAGTGGCTACACACAATACACTTAGTGGGCATTGTTGCCTGTTTAATGTTCAAACAAAAAAAAAAAGTTAGTTTCTTTGTGTGACTGTGCTGCACTGAGTTGCCTGCTGGGACTCGGACTCCTGTGTGGTGGATGTGGTGTGTGCACGTAGAGAGCATGTGGTGAAATGGCTCCAAGCAGCCACTGAATGAGGCTCTTGGGGCCACCCTGAATTTTTAGTAGGGAGGCTGTTGAGTTACTTTGCTTTGGACCTTTGGGAAACTCTTTGTAGAGCTCAGAACTGTCTCCCAAGTGATAATTCAGCACCATCCTCACCAGATGTCCCTTTTGCACAGGTCAGCTAGTTGCTGTGTGCCATGGAGCAACCACAGCCTATCTATACTTTAGCATTCTTCCTGGCCGTGGTCATGTAGGCACAGTGCACAGTTGCTTGGAAGTCACTCCACAGGGATATCCAGGATACCAGACAGGGAAGGTGCTTGAGCAGGAGCTGTAATAACTAAGACATGGCAGCAGCAAAGATTCATCTGTGTCCACCTGGGGAAGGACTTTCCACTCTGTGGGGAAAGGAGGCCCTATCTCTGTAGCTGCAGAGCAAGGAGAGCCCTGGGGAGCAGGCATGGTGCTAGAGTGCTCCTCCCTGCCTTCCCTTCCAGGCCAGGCTTTGTGGCAAGGGCTCTGCTGATCCCGCATTTGTCTAAATGTGGCACCACAGAAATTTTAGTGCAACTGTAACTGGAGGGTTTGTGACTGCTGTCACTGTAATTATCTGTCTGGTCAATAAAATGAAGGGTACTGAGTGCCGGCAGTTTGGGGGAATGAAGACTGACTTAATTACAGCAACCAAATCTCTCACATCTCTCCCGTCCACTGAAACACCAGCCGCCTTCATGTGCTGCCCTTTAACAGAGCTGCCTATCATGCATCTAAACAAACAAGTAGGGAAGACAGAGGGGAGATTGTTTGTCAGGGATGTGTCTTTGCGAGGGAGGAGCAGCAATATCTGCAGGAGGGACTGAGGTGAAACCCAACATCAAAGGCAAGAGGCTGTCAGCACATTTAACTTTACAGAAAACCTTCTCCTAATAAAAAAGGAATGACCTCATTACTACGGACACTAACAGTTCCCAGGGGAACACCAGGAGACTGCTGCCTGCACTTTTAATATTCACTTTACAAACAAATGGGAAACCTTGAAATAATTTCGGTGTTGTTCTTGGCAAGTTGTTACAATACTGTGTCCTTATAAAAATCATTTAAGAATTTATGTAGTGTGAGTCTACTTTTCATCTGGTGCTTTTTGTTGCTATCAACCTCCCTCCCTCTCACTGTTCCAATCCTGTGGGAAAGACCAAGATGCCCGTGGAGTGAGATGCTGATCGCCTCAGCAGGTTCGTCAGGAGGCACTGTTTAGCTTGGCTCTGACTGCTGAGAGAGAGGACCCATTTCTGGAGGAGATGTTTGAAAACTCTATCTGGACCTGGGCCACAGAGAGCAAGCAACGTCCTATCAGGAGGGTGAAGGGCAGGGGAAGCTTGGAGTTGGCCACAGAACTGGGGTAGGTGTGCAGAAGGGAGAGCCGAGCAGTGGAAGCTGGAAGGACCCTGGCTGTGGCAGCCCAGGATGCAGCCTTGGTGTGAAGTGGTGTGAGGATGCAGTTTGGGCCACGTCAGAGCTCTTCTCCTCTCAGCTTCTCCTGGCAGGAGTCACCATAGGCAATAATGCCAGGAAAGCTAGCGTGGAACAAATCTGTGTCTCTTCCAAGCCTCTGTGAAAGCATCAGGGAGACAGAGAAAATGCTGCTGCAAACTGAAAGAATACATGCAAAGTGTGAGGCTGTTCAGTCAGCCAAATATCTCTGCAAATTACATGAACGGTTTCTTTTCATGGGCTAGACTTTCTCCTCAAGTTACCACAGTCTGAGTGACCAGAAATCTTCCCCAGTGTTTCCTTGGTCTTACATTTGCTGTGTGGTACCTGAGGGAGGTTTGCAGAAATGGTTTCATTGACTCTTAGTGGGGAAAAATACTTTGTACTGGAAATAAGCCCTTACAGATGATGCCTCAAGCTATTCAGTAGCAGTCCACAAACTCTCACCTGCACTTAGCTGGTGTGCAGCCTGCGGAGTACCCCTTCCTCTCCTGGCATCTGCCCATGTGTATGTGCAGTGTCAGGCACACCTCAACACACCCATGAAAATGTAAATGTGCATACATATATGTAATTTAACCCCCAATTGCCTATCCACAAACACACACCAAAGAGCTTGCTTCTGTGCATCTCAGTATGTTCCTCCTGCTCATATAGGGCCATCCATCCCTTGTGCAGATTTGCTGCCAATTCTGACAGTCGTATGCAACACAATTTTATGCCTTGGGTTCATCCTCTGTACAGCCATCCATGACACCAAACTGTGGGAAAAGCAGCTCATACTTGATTATCTGTTATTCACTTTACCTGTTTCTCTAGATACTACTTAGCATCACTTCATCCCAGACTTAGTTTGTCTGAGCTTGGGTTTTTTTGACTACTGCTGCAATGCAAAAGGCAAGTACCTGCTGTTCCTCTAGGCTTTCTAACAGAAGGATAAAGTACAAAAGATGAAAATGTAATGATGGTAAGTAGCTTGTGGGAATGACACCATTCATTGGTACTCTAGGTATCAAAGTACTCACTAACGAGCAATTTACAAAAGACACTGTTGAGTCATTGTGAAGGAAATCACTGAGTGCTGTGAGCAGGAGAGTGCAGACGGCTTCATGCAAGCGTGAGCTATTGCCCAGGAGCTGCCGATTGCAGTTGTGAGCTATGCAAGGACTGCAGGCAGCTCTTTCCACTTCCACACTCTCCTCTGTGGATGTCTGGGAGCAGATGTTCATTCACCCTCTGCAGAATCCTACCAGTTGCCCACATCATGTGGGCAGAGCTAAGTCCGCACAGAGGTCTAAGCAAACTGGCATCCCTGTCTTCTACATCCAGGAAATGGTGAGGCATCTTTCCTTGTACCAGCTAAATATCTCTAATAGGCATGTGGATCTAGCATTTTGTTTTCCTTATCTTCTTTCTTCCCAAATATTAGAATGGTAATGGACAAAATCTGCTCTGACAGTTTTTCATTGTCAATTTGTCATTGAAAACCTTGACTAAATGGTTCCTTTCAAGTGCAGAAAAGATGCTCTTTAAAGCATAGCAATAAGATCCAGGCAAACTCTGCTCAATTGTTACTTCTTTGAAACCCAAATTTCGCATAGGGTAGAGCTGGAAGTTCTATATGGTTTGTAAAGATCTTAGAAATCTATGTACCAAACACTACAGGAAAAGCCAGATATTAATACAGAAAGATGGGCCAGATCTCTCTTTGCTTGAATGATGTAAATAAGCTTTTCTGGGTGAGTGTGAAGGGAGTTGCCCTGTGTCAAACTTCAGAGACAGTGATATGAATCACCGAAATGCTGTTTTGCAAAGGTCCTAGGCACTTCTATAAAGTTGTACTTCACTGTGGTTTTCTCTTGACTTGTTTTGGCATGTTTGCTTATTCTTATTATCTGTTATGGCTATTCTTATTATCTGTTATGGCAAGTTTCATCTAAATACTAACAGAAATTTGAAGATGTTAATTAAAAAGGAAGATATTCCAAAGCACAAGTGCTCATTTGTGCACATGCCCACATATTTGTAAATAATGCCACATGTGCTGGTGGTCATTTTGTCTTTGATGGGACACATCACCACAGCTCAACCTGTAGGTTCACATTATTGCCAGCAAGTGAAAAGTAGGATGATGGTCTTCCAAAGACCATCGTCATCAACTTCACTGAACTCCCAGATAGACTTTTACATGCACACCCCTTTAGCACCTTCCAGTACCTAAAGGAGCCTACAGGAAAGCTGGAAACAGACCTTTTACAAGAGTATGTAGTGATAAGACAAGGGGAAATGGCTTCATACTAAGAGATGACAGGTTTAGATTAGATATTAGGGAGAAATTCTTTACTGTGAGGATGGTGAGACACTGGAACAGGTTGTCCGGAGAAACTGTGGCAGTCTCATCCCTGGAATTGTTCAAGACCAGGTTGGATGGGCCTTTGAGCAACTTGGTCTAGTGCAAGATGTCTGTGCCCATGGCAGGGGGGTTGGAACTAGATGATCTTTAAGTTCCCTTCCAACCCAAACCATCCTATGATTCTGTGATCTAACCTTGAGCAAAGATACAGCTAGGCAGTGAATTAAAAACCAGCTAGGTATGTGTCCAGAAAGTGCAAGTGCAAGTGGTCATACAAAAGTCCAAATGCTAGACCATAAGGAAGGTTGTAACTAGTGGTTCAAAGAGAACCAGTAGGAAATCTGGGGTCACTGTCTGGCTCTGACACAGACTTCCTTTATGTCCTTGCCTCATTCACTTAATTTAGCTATTCTCCAGCTAAGGCAAGGAGACAATAGTACCTCCTTAATGGTCTTATGAAGGTCTCTTGAGACTGTGGAGAGAGAGAACTTGACTCCCTCTGTGTTTATATACTCCTGAGCAAAAGGGATTCCAGATTATAAATGCCTGGGTCTGCTGCTGCTCCCCAAAGTAATTGTATCAAATATATGGACCAACAATAAAACTTCGCAACGTTTTCCCATTTGGGGTTAAAGGATGTATTTCATTCAACAACCTGGAATGTAAAGTGTGGCTATAGTTTTGAGCTCTTGTTTCTTGTTTTGGTTTGTTTTGTTTGAGTTTTTTCTATTTTTGGTCAATGAAGTAAAATTCAAAGTGCTTACCCCCTTCTTGTTTTAAATCAAGAGGGTATCCCTTTAAGAAACAATTACTCATTCAAATTTTCTTCTGTGACATTTTAGGGTCTTTCTTCCTCTAACGAAATGGTCGCAGTTCAGTCACACACCTGGCAGAAGTTCTTTAGCCCTGTCAGCTGCAATTTTCCAGAGAAACCTCTTTGCTGGATAATTCCTCATGAGGCTGGAGGAGAGGGCAGGTTTGTGTAGCCGTCTGCATTGGAGGGTAATATTGCCCTCCTCCTGTGATTGCCTGTTGACTTTTGGAGTGTGGGACACTGAATAACCCAAAAAAGAGATATCACCTGTGAGCAAGGAGGTAAGAGCAAGTACTCTTGGTGAGATGATGTTATTCTCTGGACAATTCTTCTGCCTTTCTAGGCGGGACAGTGTGGCCTCTTTAACCCCATCACTGGATCAGTGCTCCGAAATTACACTAGTGTAATCATCCCACTTGAATTAAGCAACTCCTGGCTTCTGACTCCACAATCCAGCCTTGGGCATCCCCTCTTAGCCTGATGCCTGCATCCCCCTCTTCCTCCCTCTCCCTTGAAGCCCCCTGCTTGTGGACTCCTTGATATTTTCCAGTCCTTCCCTAATGAGCACTGCAGAATTACAGCTAATTAAGGATGTAAATGATGCTGGAGAGGGAGAGAGAGGGAGAGGATGGGAAGGGGTGGGGGGGAGGGCAGCTACTTGCTGTGTGCAACTCTGCAGTAAAGTGTCTCCTACCTCAGCAGAAAAGTTATCGCAGGAGACAATGTCAACTTTACGGAGGTGGGGAGGGCCCTTTGCGTGGCTTCATCCCTGCCTGCAATAACTGCTGCCTCTCTTTTATGTGTCAGCACTGCAGATGCTGATGTCCTCCCTCCCAAATGCTGCTTTGTCAGCTGGTGCTGTCATCGAGCCCTGGTCTCCTTCTCTGGAACTTGCCACCACTCTCATCCATGTGTCGCCTGGGGTGTGAAAGGCTCAGAAGACCTCAAAACATTCCTGTTCTCTGGGTGAGCAACCTGTTGTGTCCCTCTTGCTTGCAAAGGGATTTTGGGTCAGGTCCACCTCCAGATTTAGAAAGGACACCGTTGTTCAGGAGGGGAGTGGATTTTGGCCACTTCTCCTAGGCACCAGGGCACCTGCCTCTCTGGGCTGCCACCTGCCAGTGCTGGTCCTCAGCCACTGCTCCCCGGGGCAGGATTAGGGCTAAGTCCCTTATCTCTGCAGTGGTGGCCGGTGACTGGGACAACACGTCTTGCGGGGTGACACACACTGGTGGCTGGAGCTGACAACTCAGGCCACACAACCCTGAGATACGTGGTTGCTCACACATGGGAGCTGGTCTGGTTTGCTTTAGGAAATGCTCCTGAAGGGATCAGTGGGGGTACTGGAGAAAAGCAGAGTTCATCCAGCAAGGGGTTGCAAGCCCTCCACCCCACCAGCAGCCTTGGCTGGCAGCTCCTGCCCACGCCAGGGAGCCAAGAGTCAGCTGTCTGGCAGCCCTGCATTGGGGAGAGATGGTTCTGCTGGCTCTGAGCAGCTGTTTGAACCCATTCCAGTCTCTCTGGGTCCTCCCGAGTACGTTTCCAAGCACTCTGGGTCCCTGTTGGAGTATTTCTCTGCACATTGCCCAGATCAATGAGTTGCGAAGGGAGACTTGCCCCAGCCCCACAGCCAGTCCGTCTGTCTGTCCCCTGCCTGGCTGAAGCAGGAATGCCCACCCCGGGTCAAGGGGAGATGGCATTGGGTGGCAGCAACGGCGGCGGTGGGTTTTGTTGTTGTTTCCCCAGAGCGCTGTGCAATATATTCTGATTTTTTTTCTTGTCATTAAGCCAGTGCCTCGGAGATGATGATGTAGTCCCTATGTGGGCCGCAGAAAGCACTTCGAGCCGTGCTGGAGTCGTGCTGGGTGGCTCTGATAGCAGAGCTAATGGGAGCGAATGGGATGCAACGAACTGTTCTAATGACACCAGCCAGGGAAGAGACAACAGTAAGAATAAATAAATGTTAACTATTTTCCTCTTCCAGACATTTGCATCTATTGCCATTAAGTTCATTTAAATAAGAGAGAGAGCGAGAGAGAAGGGGAAACTTACTACTACTCTTAATAACAAGTGTCTAAAAATAAATTAGGATGCTGGGATGCACTTAAGGCATTTTAAAAATAAGTCTGATTTCTTCCCCCTTTCCTCTTTTTTTTCCAAGTTGGAGGGTTTTAATTTGGGCCAAGTAATTTTGGTGCAAACGCTTGGGCGCCTTTCGTTGGGAAATTGGGAGGAATGCAAACAAGATTTCACTTCATTAAACAGGGGCAAACAGTAGAGAAATTGCACTTACTTATGGAAATGACTTTTAAACATGAACAGCATTTACTTGCATTGCCTTGTGCTGATTTTTTTTTTTTAAAAGATTATACATGTGAATAATTCACTGCGGGCCAATTAGATGATGATTTCATTTTTAACCTCTCTTCCTTGCCATCTTGCTCGCTGTCCCTTTCATTGCAATTTCCACCCTCTTCCTTCCTTTCAATAAATTAATAAAGATCAAATAATCCCTCTCCCTGTGGTGCCAAGAGCTAGCTTCTGTGAAAGGGTGTAAGGTGAGAAATCAGAGGATCACCGTCTCTGCTGAACTGACCTGTGATGCAGCAGAAATAACTCCATGGGATTTCTAGAAGCAGAACCGCACCCATGTGTTCAGGAATAAGGAATGGGAAGAATGAAAAATGGACAGGAATGAAAGGTGGAGACAGACCACAAGGATCTCCATGCTGTCTGCATGCAGAATGAGGTGCTGGAGAGAGGCTGAGCAAGCAGGATTTACCCTCTGTGAGGCTCCATTGATGCTGACAGGATCACACCAGCGTGAGTTTACTCTGGCCAGGCTAAAAGCAGCACTCAGATGGGTGACTCCATGGCATTGCTGGGGATAGAATGATGCCCTGAAACTCTTCATCATCCCTGGGCCCAGATGCAGGCCAAAAAGATGTGGGGCCACTGCTTGAACCAGGGAACAATGGCCTGGGATGTGAGAAGAAGCCAGAGGAAGGTAATTTTGACTTTTGCCGGGGCCTGTGGCAAGTGGACCTTACAGCAAATGGATAGAGAGTTCCCCATGAGGCCTCAGTGTTTTTCCCCATCTAACAGATGTTAGAGATTCTTGCTGCTATTAACGCACGTGTCAGGGCTTTCCCAAGCTTCCTGCAGAAAGCAGTCTGTGGGATTTCATGACAGCAGGATCTGCCAAAACTTTCAGGGTGCTGGGAAGAAGTTCCAGAAGAGACTGGCTCCCTCTGGTCTCAACTTTGCTGCTTCTGCATTTCATCAGATGCCTGCCAGCTTAAAAGCAGCATTGGAAGACTCTATCCGTGCAGACCCCAGTCATGCTTATAGGAAGGCAATATCTGTCCTCAAAAAAGTTTTTTTTCCCAAATATTTAAATCCTGGAGCTCTTTACAGTAATTAAAGTATGTAATGCAGAGCCTTAAAGCCTCTAAAAACATAATAAAAATATATGTAATTAATTAATTAATTAATTGTAAAAAATCAGCCGATCTACCTGTTTCATTTCTTACTTGACTTTTACCTGTGTTTCTTATCTAGCTTTTAGGTCTCATTCCTACATATGGCCCACTCTACAGCAAATGTGACTGCTGTCTTCCTTTCATCTACCCCAAAATGAAGGAGAAACTTTGGTACCTTCCCAGTGAAACTTCCAGTCCCCTGTCGCTGCCAGGACAAGGGTGAATTGGAATATCTTCCCTCCCTGCATCACCCAATGCACACCTCTTTTCTTAGCTAAGCAAGAAGCTTTTCCCTGGTGCCAATAGAGACACACTGCAGAAGAGTCACTGCTGATAGGGTCTGTGCCAGTCCTGTGGGGTGAGTATCTGTCCTGTCTTCTTCTCCTTACAGGTAGGAAAACAGAGGCATGGAGCAGGTAGGACACCTGTTTGCTCCTGTATACCCTGACCAAGCATAGTCAGCAGTGGGAGAGCTGGGACCTCAGTCAGAAGCAGGACTGTCCATAATTTAATTTCTTGTTAAGCTCTCATTTTAAAGGTTATTTTAATGAAAAAGATCTTCCTGAGAGGCTCCCCTCCACATGACTGGTAGATGTCACAGCACTATGTCACCACTTTCTTCACCCCTGTCTCTGCTGTCTCTGAAGCCTTCACCATCTTCCTCCAGGAACTCCTTTCTTGCACTGTCCCAGCCTCATCCCTCCAAACTGCTTCCCAGGATGTTTCGTGGTCATTTTGTCAGTGTTTGCTTTCTCAACAGATCAGATTCCCAGCCCTTCTGTGCTTCAGTGTTTTTATGGCTCTTCACTGGTTACAATTTTAGGGGGGAGGAGGTGGCTGCAAGCAATGACCTGTGATTTCCAGGGAAGGGGAGAGCAAGGAAACTTCAAGCAGCATGGCCTCCTGCTGGGAGCAGTCCCTTTTAGAGCCCTTGTGTCAATTATGGCTTTCAGAGACACTTCCCCACTCTATTTGTTTACCCTGGGGAAGCTCAGCATGCCCCTTCAGGGCTGAAGGCATGCAAATTCACTCTCGAGGCAATGGCACAAAGGTCTTTCAGTCTAGGCTTGAGAACTTTGCATTGCCTATTTCTGGTTCAACCTACAGCACCAGGACCTAAGCTCCACGAAACAGGTTCTCCTTTCCCTGGTGAAAAGGCTTTCACTTTCAGGCTCCTCTGCAGTTCTGTTGTACCTGGCATCCTCCAGCTGAGGCTGGAGTTGAGGAACACAGAGACAGCTGTGAGCCCATGTTAACAGCAGTCAGTGATGCCTTAGCTCTGCGCCTGATGCTGCTGGCTGTAGTGTTGGGTACAGGACATTTTCTAGCCCCACAGAACTGTTCCTGACAGCTATTCCAAACAAATTCCAGCATAGACTCTTTTATCCTGGATTATCCACACTTGGAGTTATTAAGAGACATCTTCCTGAGAAGCTTTGTGGAGAGAGAAGCCCAGAAACACCAGCTATGAAACAGCATGTTGTGTGCTGAGCTCTCTCTGCAGGAGAGGTGTTTCCATCTGCTACACAACTCTTGAATTCAAGAATAGGACCCTACAGGCTGTTTGGTACCTCTGTTGACCTCAGCAGGCTTACCACCAGGGACAAGTTTAGCTCTATGCACTCATTAACCTGCTTCCCCTGAGGTACCTGCGAGGCCGAGAGCTGTGTGAGGTGGACACCCTCAGCAGTGGCACTTCAGCTGCAGCACTTTGCAATGGGCACTCTCTTGATGATCTGCTTGTGCAGCACCTGGAACTGGGGGACAGTAGTGGGTCCTGACCATCCCCATGTCCACGAGAGCCATGGGGATCAACTAGTGGCAAGGCAAGGCAAGCCAAAGCAAGGCAAGTTCTCTGTTCTCTGTGCAATCAAGAAGTCTTGGGCTGAGGAGGACTTCAGAGGTTACTGGTGTATCTAACACTGAAATGAGCTTTGTTCCTTTCTTCAGCCTCCTAATAACAGACACTGTCTCTGGGCACTGAATTAACAACCTCAGGTAGAGGTGAGGAAGTGTCAGACATTGTTATTGACATTCCTGCTGACACCCTCCCTTCAGACACTGCATCCCTGGGGGCTGGAGAGTGCTGGGCTGGGCTCCCTGGACAAGGGTCAGAGAAGATGCTGGACTGAGGCCTCCCAGAAAGATTTCTACCCGCAGCTGCATTTTTTGAGAAGATCCACCCTTGTTTCCCATATGGGCTCTACAGAGAAGTAGCAGCAGTGGTGGAGTGCTGATGACATTGGAGAGCTGCTAGTCATGCTGCCAAATACCATCAGGTCTTGAAAGGTAACTTGCCAGCATCCCCTGGGTGACTTATATGTTTCTTTTCTAAGCCCAGCAGGTGTAAGCCTTGAAGTGGGGTAAGCACATCCATTTCACCTCATCATTGGTGGAAGCCATATGATTAAGAACTGGCTGAAACATGACATTTTCCGCAGTGAATTCCAAATGATGTTCAGTTTGAGCAGAGCAGGGACAGTTTCCTCTCACCAAAACTTGTATGAGAGCGTATTTTTTATAACAACTGAAAAATCCTTCCATTAAACAGAAAAGCCCCTTTTATTTAGCTTTAAAAAGAATTTGAACTATTGATAGGTAAGAAAAAAATAATCTGGACATCTTTTCTGATTTATTGTGTTTAAAATATAAATACAGAGTATGTTTCTGGAAATTATCTTCCATTGGAGAAAAACTGAAGTCTTACAGGGCTATATAATAAAGCAGAAATATTTAGAGCAAAGAGGAAAAAAACCCCAATGTTTCTGAAAGAGGTTTGGAAGGAAACATGGAAAGCATAAATTGGTAAATGTAGAAATCCTCTCCTGCTTTTCAATTCTCAAAATCTAGAGCAGGGAGATTTTGGATATCAGCAACTCTTTGCTTTATAGAAATGATAAAGCCACACTGGTACTGTGCCCTCATAATGTGTATCAATTGACATTATAGAAGCATACAGACTTTAAAAAATGCATTTTGTCTTCTCTTTCTTCTCCTCCTTCCCAAAGACAGATCAATTTCTTTGTCTGCTTTGCACAAGTGTGAGGACACCAAGACACGGAGATGGGAGTGGTCTTGCCCAAGGTCACACTGCAAACAAATTATCATGGCAAGAGTCACTTATCAGTTGCTGTGAGGAACAGCAGAGGAAAATGTGGTCCACCCTCATATGTTCCACTACCACCATGGCACTGTGTTCCAGATCCACTCTGTGAGTATCAAATTGTCTTGCCATCTCTGACAAGCAGATGAAACAAAGAAAGAGGCTGGTCCAAAATGACTTCTGCTGCTTGCAAAGGGAGAAACTTGGGGTGTCACTGGCTGGAGATACCCCAGATTTCTGAGAAGACTTGTGCCACAAATTGTGGCACATGCATCATGTGGCTGTTTTTTCCTGATCATGGGGTCATGTGCAAGGAAATAAGTAAATGGTAGGAAAGCCAACGGGAA